AGTAGCAAAACGTCGGCAGTTGGTGCTGCCTTCTCTCTGTTCGATCAGTTCAAAATTGAGGATGGCTATGTGAAGATAACTCTTGTGTAACATTACATGAACATTTAGAAACAACCAAACCATTACAGTTTATACTGGTGTCATCATTAGAAAAGGTCACTGTTAAAAGACTGACGTCTGTAGTCAAATATCAAGTGCAACGTACAATGAATTAAACCTCAAGATGCCTATGTATCAAAGTATGAGGAACTCGTGAGTTATACACTGTTGGATTCGAATTACTGGAAATCTTTCTCCGAGTTATTTTGAAGAAAAATAGATTGACCTGTGTGTTTAAAATACGAACCTTGACTTTGGGTTATAATATTAACCTTAAAATAATAACCTTGACTTTGGGTTATAATATTAACCTTAAAATACGAACCTTGATTTTGGGTTATAATATTAACCTTAAAATACGAACCTTGATTTGGGGTTATAATATGTTATTGGTATGTATCTCGTAACGACTATAGCATCTCAGGAAACGTTTATGTAACTTTTTCTGTATTTTAGCTTTAAACGATATTTATAACGAATAGTTTCAGTTGCAAAAATAAATGAAAATATATCTGTTTATCTTGATGTACACTTACTAAAATAAAGGTTTAGCTGAGATTTAAATACAGGAAATATAAAAGGCATTAAAAGTAGTAACTTATAAAGTTTGACTTGCAAAAATGAGAACTCCGGGATCATATCAATAATTTCATTAGAACTTTTATATATTCATGTTGAATATATAAGTCATTCTTTGTTATGCTAAGAAACTTTAATTTGAAAAAGAGGATTTTTTTGTTACAAAAAACGCTCCTCGCTTACACTGAGGACCTTAACACGTGGGCAGATATAGCTAAATGTTACAAATGTGAGGAGTTTAAAGCCTAATAAACGCGGCAGTCATGTTGATTGTACGGGGAGTTGTTAAAGAGGAAGTAAAAATTTCTTATCATTACCGATTTGAAAAAATTGTAATTTATAATAAGAAAATTATCGTCAACGGAAATGTAACTCATCGTTATATGTGATTTACAACCGCACCAAGGAAGACCATCATCCACTTGAACCAATCAAATTGCTAGCTGCTTCCTCGCCCTGTCAGAACTATATTACATGAATAAATCATAATCTACGTGACTTGCTCCAAAAGAAACTTAAGTAACCAGACAAAACCTCGAGCTGATCAGTTATTATTATTATTGCTTCAAATATCTATATATCACGTGTAATACGATAATTTGCTTTAAAAACATCAGCCTATTCTATAGTATTCCAGGCACAGTAACACACGTGTATTTGGTGCTTCAATGAAAAAAACTGAACACAACGATAGTCAGTTCCTTTTGAAAGACAGAAAGATTGTACAAAGAGAAAAAACATTAATAATAAAACGCCCACTCTTAATTTGTCTAGCGAAACTTCAACTTAAAAGGCTGATAATGTCATTATGAAATATATGTAAAAATACAAAATAAAAACACAGACACAAACTTTTTATTCTTTTATATTTATTTTGGTTACATACAGTTCAATGTGATAATGGAAATAAAGACATAATTTACTGTTGTTTCTGTACTGACAGTGGAGTAGAAATATGGAGATAGCCACATAAGGCACTTCACCTTGCTAAGATTGTTCAAACAGTGCAAACCACTAATAGTGGGTGGAACAATTTCAGGGATTGGGTTCCATCATGTACATTCACGATACTGTATTTTTGCTCTGATGGGCAAGGACCCTTCCAAGATGATAATGGAAACACATTGTATTGTCCAAAAGTGGTTTGAATAGCATGACGTCAGTTATTTTTCTTGACCAGCACTACCACAAGAGCATCTTTGGGGTCAGCTAGCTTGAATATCGCACTTGTCCGTAAACCTTATTCAGATCGTACTACTAGACAAGTGGGCTGCACTTAAACAAAATATCGTTCGTCACTTTGAAAGTTTATGTTATGTCGAGTCCAGTTTATTATCGCGAAAGTTGGTCCAATGCGATAATAGTAGGGGATCGTTAATAAGAAGGCTAGTCAGTGCATATTGGATGTAATCTTTCCCTACGATTAGATAAGGTGAATTATTGCAGTGCTATAAAGTGCAATACAAACTCCAGAATGTTTTTGGTGAAAAAATCTTTACTATCCATATCGAACGATATAGTTTTGTGTAAATTTACTTATATTTCCCCATTTACAAAATTATTTGATTTATTAGTGGGGGAAACCAATTTTGTTTATTAACTTTGCCGTTTCTCTTCCGTGTTCGCGTGCTTTATGTATTTTTATGTTAGATAAAATAGCACTATTTTCAGAAGAGTGCGAAGTCACACCTATATTAGTTGCGTGATGAACTTGAACAACTGATCTATCCATGGATTAATATAGCATTTTAAACACAAAACATCCTTTCGAAGGTTAAGGCTCCCGACTCCCAATCTGCCGGTCGCGGGTTCGAATCCCTTCACCGAACATGCTCGCCCTTTCAGTCCTTTCATTAATCAATGGTAGGAAGCGGGTGCTCCCACGTTTCAACCTGTCTCAGTAAAAGTGCATAAAAATTAGGAAAATCACTCTCAGGAAAAGCAGGAGAAGGCTTAAAATTTAATCCTGAACTCAAGAGCTTCCAGGGCCGTAAGGGGAACCCTGGACCCCGGCTATAATGGGTGCGCCTGTGGCAAACATTCCCTCGCTTTGCTCGGTCAAATAAGCTTTGTCCTCCCTCATACACACTATTAATTTGCCTCATACATCTCTGTTGATAAAGAGTAGCCCAAGAGTTGGCGTTGGATGGTGTTGACTAGCTACCTTTCTTCTAGTATATTAGTTCGAAATTAGAGACGGCTATGCCAAAATAACCGTTATGCGCGAACATTTAGAAACAAATTTTTTCTGCATTTTTACAGTATCTTTGTTCGTGAAGATAGGGGCTGTTAATTCTCTCCGTGATATAAAGTGTTCGTCATTAAACAGATTGTGCAACAGTTGTCCGATATTTTACACAAGTGGAGCTAAGATTAGCGTCTGAAAGTTGTGTGAAACATTTAGTGGAGCTAAGATTAGCGTCTGAAAGTTAGTGTGAAACATTTAGTGAAGCTAAGATTAGCGTCTGAAAGTTAGTGTGAAACATTTAGTGGAGCTAAGATTAGCGTCTGAAAGTTAGTGTGAAACATTTAGTGGAGCTAAGATTAGCGTCTGAAAGTTAGTGTGAAACATTTAGTGGAGCTAAGATTAGCGTCTGAAAGTTAGTGAAGCTCAAGTACATGCTTTGCCAAAAATAGTTATGCCAAAATTATAATAAATGTCCATTACAAATGTGAAAATTACATTTGTATTTCAAGCATTCGATATAAGTTAATTGTAAAATCAAACAATGACACTAATTTTCCATCAAACTATGAAACACATCTCTAAGGTTTTGTTTTAGGAAAAAAAAACAACAAATTTTGCTGAATACATAATATACTCGGAAATTAAATTAATATATTCCGGTATTTAATTGTTTCAACTTGAAGACACCCTATGCAACAACTAGTCTAAATGGCCAGGCTAGAGATACTAAAATTTAAGTATATTCATCCTATTTTTGAACTGTTGGTCAGATGAGGACAACCAGTCGCTAACGCCTGTCGCCAATGCGACTACCCTTAACCAAATGCTGGTAATGAACGCCAAGATTAAAACACTCCCACGAATGATAGTGCAGAGCGTGTTCAGTAGCATGATATAAATATCATGGCATTAATCTTGGACTTTCCGATTTGCAGCCTGGACTCTAAACATTAAGCCACACCTAGCCGCATAAGGTTTAAAACTGTAATATTACGTTTTTAATAAATAAGATGCAAGATTCGTACATTTGTTATGAAAAACAAGTCAAATCTATCAACTGAATTGGTGGAATTATATTTAACATTGGTTAGTGATTAAAAAAACGTCGTAAAAGTGCGTATACATTTACACTTACGTTGTTGAACTTATGTAATCCCCTTCATGTTCTACAGTTTTCTTGACAATAAAGTGCTTAGGAAATCAAAAAATTCAATTACATTAGAAAAATATCCCACATTTTGATTATACATTTATGAATGTTTGAATTAATTTTTTTTTGTTAAGCACAAACTACTCAATGGGCTATGTGTGCTCTTCTCACAGCGGCTATTAAAACCCAATTTTTTACGTTATAAGCCCTCAGATTTACTGCTGAGCCACCGGGAGGATGAATTAAGTTGCAACATATACAAATACAGTAACACGTCTTTACAACATTTATAAAACAAAATACAGTAACACGTCTTTACAACGTTTATAAAACAAAAGAAAGAGCAGTTATTGATTTTAGTTGGAATGGTATACATTAACTATGAACGTTAAAAGAGTAAAACCAAAACCTATACTACATTAATAGAATAAATACATTGTTAAATTTTATTTTTAAGTGTGTGATCAACTTATTACTGTACTTGTGAAATAAAACAACGCAACAAAAATTTTAAACACTTGAAGAATACATCTTGGAAAGACACTCTCTAATGTTTGACCTTTAACAGTATACATTAATTACGAAACTAAACAACAAAATCACACTCCGAATCACGTTATGGAAAACAGTTTGGAAGTTTCACTTTTCAAAGTTTGCTCACTTTCCATACATTAATCACGAAAGTTGACAAACACTACAAACTTCTCTCCTTGTTTAAAAAACAACAAAAACCTAGTTCAAATGTTTAAACTGCTCTAGTAGTATATATATATATACATACTATTTTTTTTATTTTCATTATTAACATATGTCTATACTTCAATGTCAAAAATCTGTAAAGTTTGGAACTACCCTTCAATGTCAAAAATCTGTGAAGTTTGGAACTACACTTCATTGTAAAAACCTATTTTTATAAATTTTTTTTACTTCTTCCCGGCAAATAAATATAAGAAAGAAGTTCCACACATTGATACAGTGACTCACCTTTTAACGATGTCGTGTTCTTGTAATTTTGAGTCTTGAATAAAGGTGCTTAAATACTTGGAAAGGAATAATTAGAAACTGTAAGTAGTATGTGATTCAGTAGTTATTCTGTTTGTGCTCTAATGGTTACACCATTGTTAGGAATGACTGAAATAACCGCCTTTTTAGATACAGGTAGATTCAGTCCTTAAATATTACTAAAAAAATCACAAACCTTCTATAACTTTGAAAAATACCTTGTACAAGCTAAATATTTACAGTAAAATCTTTCAATAGAGACGTCTGTCACAAATACTCAGCTGGTCACAAGCTTCGCGCCAAACAGCATTTAATCTTCATATTCCAGCAGACGGTAAGCGAATGTCACTCGAGCTATTCTCGTTTCTCTCACGAGAACGTATCTGCCGTGTAGAGCAAATGGTAGCGAGTACTACGATGATGGTTTGGCTCACTTCCAATATTTTATTCGAAGCAATGGCAATTCTATAGCGCCTATGCAGGATTTCTATTTTTCTTTCCGCAAATTTGTTTTACTTTTTGAAACGTTTTATTTGAGAAATATAAGCAAGACAGCAGTAAAGAAACGAAATTTTGTTGAAATACGTCCAGATTTGTCCTCTGAAAGGTAGAAAGCATCATTCAATTAATTGTCTTAGAAAGCAAAGTTTTCTAACGAGCATTCCAATCTCAAAATAACTAAAATCGTGTTTCAATCTGAAGTAATATATATATATCATAGTAAATAATTGAAGTTAAATTTCCTACTTCTCAGAGAGGTAGCGCTCCGTCTAACAGGTCTATATATACCTAGTAACCATTTTCTCAGACTTTTATACCTGAGAATGAATTGTTGGAGTTGTTTCACGCAGATTCATAAAAGTCTGACTTTGATGGATTTTCGAAGAATGAAATTCAGGCGGACTACGTTATAGAAACAAAGTTCAGTTTTGAATACAAGTTTTTATATCAGTTAGAATACTTTGGTAAACGAATGAAACAATGTACACATATTGTTGTCTTCCCCAATCGCAAAATGTTTTTGTAAAATAATAACATAAAGAAAAAAAAAGTCAATATTTCTTCTTTTTATATTATGTTTCTATGAAAAAAGCACGTGGAATTTATGTGACATGTTTTCATGTAAGCCTACCGGTAACTCGACAACAGTTGTGCAACAGCCGTGGCTTATACACGAGTTTTTTTATATTTTTTTATTATTTTTGTAATGTTGACTTTTAGAAGGTGCGGTTTATAATTGAAAAATTACGATGTTATAGCACAGTGTTAATGTTAATTACAGATTTCAAATATATTTAGAATGAAGATTTTATGGTATTTCCACCCAACATATTAAAACAAAAACTTATCGTAATCACATATTTTGTATCTTTCAAATACAAAGGAACATGATTCCAATTAATGTCAAACATAAGACAAGAGATTATAATAAAATATAGAACAACACGCTCCATTGTGAAGTAGGTTTAACTAAAGATGACTGGTGAAATATTTATTTAATGTTCGATAAATTATCCAGATATTTCTTTCGTACACTTAGATCCTAACGATCGACAGAGTCTAAGTATGAGGTATTGCATGAGGGAATCTCGACGTAATGTGATTTCTTGCCAATTGAAGAATGAACTTGGGTTGGTCTATGTAATGGCATAGTTCTTCTTAAATGGTGTTTCTTTTTTTAATGTTCGTACAATTTTATTACAGAATTCTAGAAATGTCTACAACCAATCATATTAATTCTCAGTGCGGTTGAAAACTTAACACATTACTCTACTAAATCAGACTTTCGAATTCTCCAGTTTATTGGTAGGCAAAAGAAACACATATTAAATACAAGTGAATATAAATTTGAAATCATACATATATATATCTGAAAGCTGAAGTATCGTACATAATTGGCACATTTATTTTCGAAAAGTCTTTCTCTTATTTTCAATGGTTTCAACGTGACAGATAATTGGAAATATTTAACTGGCACTGATATGATTAAACGCTTCATATAATTCTCTACTTTGTTGTCTAATTTCTGTAAAAAACACACAATAGTATCACCAACTTTCTAATGTTAGCATAGAAATACCAATACAAAGTAGTTAATAAAATTGTTACAGTTTATTAACTGTAGCTCAAGTCGGCGAGTTTTCCCCACTATGAATATTACAGAAATTGGATCGACGCCCTGAAGAAACTCCGGTAATCTTCAACCAATTAATTTTTTGTTTTATGAGAACACGTGGAATTTAGAGGAATAACAGAACCGATATTATTTTACAGCTGTAAAATTAACATGTATCACTTGTAATGAATACGGGGTTATTTAAAGATTAGGGATATGGATGCACATTACCTGTCTTATTTCGGGTGAATTTCAAAATAGTTTTCAGAGCTTCAATTACGTGAAAGACGGGCATATGAAAGCAAACTGAGTTGACCAAGCTTGTGAAATACCTCAGAAACTTGATAGGTGGCTGAAAATGTGTGACAGTTTTTACATATAGACAGATTGTTGAATTATATATAAACAGAAAAAGCGGGAAAATATTTTATAATCAAATTATCAAAAGATTAAAAGTCGAGGGCAAGGGCACAATATTTCAAAAATGGACCCTTTAATGTTCTTCCTGGAAGCGAAGATAATCACACAGCAGAACATTTAGGACAAAAATGGGCTCCGAAACCACACATCCCAAACTAATCAGGATCAACAGCAAAGTGAAAGCTATGGTTACCAAAGACATCAAAAACCCATAGTTATGAAGCACACGTCGAAATTAACGGTTGTTTTCACGAAAAAGATGGCAGCAGAAACTGGAATCACAACAATCCTGTTCTACCACATGGGCCCTCGATCTGGTTCTAATGGACTTTTGTGCCTTTGATTTGCTTAACCGTGCTATTGAAACTCATAGCCGAAGTTAGCTGGTGTATAAAAAACTGTGTAAGAGGATTGGGGCCATCTTGACATGGCTGTTTTTAAGACCATTACTAAGAAGCAGAGGGAGCACATAGTGCATGATTGGGCAGGATAACATGATAAGACCATTATTAGGAAGCAGAGGGAGCACATAGAGCATGATTGGGCAGGATAACATGATAAGACCATTATTAGAAAGCAGAGGGAGCACATAGAGCATGATTGGCCAGGATAACATGATATTTTATAATAATTGAAATATTATTATTTGTGTTGTTTTTTTTTACTAATATTGAAAATTTATGATGAATTTGAATGTAATAAAAAATCCATAAATTTGACTAACCGCTTCAGTACTGACTAATATATAAAGGTTTGAAAAATAAATTATTCATTCAATTATTTTTACACAACGTTTTGTGAGCTTCAACATGAACACAATTCCTAACTTATTTGTAAATCGTCATAAAGTCAACAACTATCGTATGTTAAGAACATGCACCGGTAAACACGACTGATAGAACAACGTACACTATTCAATTAGATGTGTATAAGATAGTAATAAACTATCACCATTTGACGCATGTAAGATGTTCCTAGTTTTAAGTTTACAGGTTTCGCTGAGTTCTCACAATTCATCACAAACCTACAAATCATTTAAATAGATGCATGTATTAGGCTACTTGGCATTTATTAGAAGTATCATTATCTATTAATGGTGGTTATTACAATAAGTACTAAGTGTACCAGAGTTAGTCCTCTGTCTTGTACTTAACAAAGCAATTCGATTATATTAATTTAAACCACAAATGTTAACCATGATAGGAAACAAGCACAGGCAATAAAAATAAAGTCAATTAAAAGACAAGAGGCTATAAGATGATAATTTTTCTACAACTGACATCCAAATTAAATATGTAGTTTGGGAAAATATAATACACTTAGTCTATCGACCACAAGTCTGGAATATGAATGGCTACAACACAAGTTCTAGTTAAAAACAACAAGATCATTGCGGGCTAACAAAACAGAACACACAAATGTGTTCGCCAATGCAACATCTTTGTGTTGAATTTTATATAATACTAGCTGGAGTACCCATCATCTGGACGGATGTTATGTAAATTCATGATTAATGAAAGGTTATCTTAGGACATGAAAAGTTGCTTACCTCTTATGTAATTGTAAAAAACGCAAAAACGTAAAATGCAAAACTAAAAATGTGTATGTAGTTCCCCATATATCCAATCAACCTCCATAACGAATTTGGTGAAGATCCATCTACAGGAGATAAGGTAGTGGTAAAAAAAAACGTGAAAACGCTCATAAAAACAGCAAAACGCAAAATGTAAAACTGAAAATTTGTATGTACTCCTGTATAGGTCTAATGAACCTTCTTACCAATTTTGGTGAAGATCCATCCACACCCTGAGAAGTAGTTACATGGACATACAATAGACAGTACTATTATATTTATATAGATGATAAAAATATGACTTCAAACAGAACAATACACTCAAGTAAACACACTTTTGAACGTTATATGCGTTGCTATAAAACATTCAAAACTTGTATGTTTATATTTTTACAACAATCTCCATTGTTATAGCTCACACACGTCTGGTGTTTGGGGAGTACAATTTGTGTTGGTGTGAAAAATCATAATGTATGTTTTAATTTAAAACACAGTTTTATGTAGTTGAGTTGTTTCACATGTGGTGAAACTATCATATAGTATATTTTCAGAAATGAACGTATCTATTGCCACATTCTTATTTTTAATGTGTATCGAATCCTACATAGGCCTACTTGTGCAATTTTCCTATGCTTAAGATAATTTATCTACTTTGAATCGGTTTCTTTAATGTAGCGATTTTTAAATAACTTCAATCTTCAGAATATTGTTTATCATTACTAGCATAAGATATCAGCGCTCGGTTGCGGGATTCAAAGGCCCCCTTATAAAGTAAAGAGGCCCCAATGTAATAATTTAACTCCTCCGTTATCCTCAACTACTTATAAAGATAACCCAAAATTATTCGCACCCGAAAACAACAAAATCCCCCCTCATAAGTCAAAGAGGCCCTAATGTACTAATAAACTCTTTCGTTACCCCTAATTACATTTATAGTTACCCCAAATGGATTCTTACCCGAAAACAACCCCATTAAGACTTTGGAACCTGAGCACGTGTGCAATGCCATGTTTGGTCCCGTTAGCTTATGAGTGGGTATGAACACAATTTCAAACGTGGCACACCTGGGATCCCCCCAGGAAACAGGAACACAAAATGCTAGATTCGGGTTTAGCTACCCTGAACACCCTTATTATGTCAAGGGCACGTTTTAGCCCAACCCCTCTTGGCAGGAGGGGAGTTACACCATGTAGAAAATTACACATCCCGAGCCAATCGGAGTCTGTCTGCTAAGGTTGGTCCTGCTAACTTTAAAACTGTGGAAGAAGTTCGCAGACAAACAAA